AGCGGCTAGAAAAGTCTACCACTCCATATGAAGATAGTGCCACGAGTCTGGCCAAAGGACACGTGCATAGAACAGGAAACTGATGTCAGACATAATCATCAGATCCTACGTGGGTTGCCTTGGACCCAAGTCATGTGCCAGCAGCATGGCTGAGTGGTGCAAAGGTACAGTCTGGAGCCATGGAATGCAGCCAAGGCCCATGCTGGAACCATATGACCTTGGCCTCTGCTGTTGCTCTCCAACACTGCACACTGTGCACCTCTCCTTAGGCCAGAAGGTGGCTGTAAGCCCCAAGCCAGTCTTGAAGATGGACATTCTGAGACCTGGGGGGGATGTCAGCCTTTAGTGCAGCTCAGGGCAACCACCACAGGGGAAAAAATACCCTTAATTGGAAACTGCTGTCAGCCGGGCAGTGGTGGCGCATGCCTTTAATCCCAGCACTAGGGAGGCAGAAGCAGGTGCATCTCTGTGAGTTTGAGGGCAGCCTGGTCTACAAGAGCTAGTTATAAGACAGGCTCCAAAGCTACACAGAAAAACCCTGTCTTGGGACGCCCCCCCAAAAAAATCTGTTGTCATATAATTTTAAAAATTATCTTTATTTTTCTCAGCTGATAAAATCCAAAAGTGATGGGACCAAACTGGTTAGTAAAGGTGGAGAGGCCCATGTGGAGGGTGCCCAGTCAGGTCTAGACAGAGGAGAGTACTCTAACACTACCATTTCTGGGGAGAGAAAGTTGGTGTAAAACACACAGCCTCCTGATGAGGATGGGGAGAAACATGGTGGCAGAAAGGCCTTCAGCACAGCAGTGAAAATAAAAACAGAGCTGAGGTGTGTGTGTATATTGTCAAAATGGTAAACACAGTAACACAATCCAAGAATGCCCTTTAGCTCCACTCTTATGTTGTACCTGCTTTAGGCTAAAAACCAGAAACTGTTTAAATAGTTTTGCTTTCTGTCCTCAGTGCAAAACCCACACGTAAGAAAAGACAGAGTGAAAGCAACCAACCACCCGAACATGCTAGAGCGCCCAGAGAGAGAGACGGAAAGTACTGTCTTCTGCCATTTGTGTTGGCCACACTCCCATGGGCATATCCTTTAGGTTCATTCTGTACAATTAGAACAAAAGGATTGCAGGCAGGGATTTCCTGCAGGAACCTAAGCAGCTACCTTCTTATTCCCTTGCCAAACAAAACCAAAGCCAGAGGAAATGAAGAAGACGAAGCCGGAACTGGTATATCCCTCCCCCCACCCTTGTTTAATTCTCTCCTTTGCTCAGTTCTCTTAAATTCTTCTTCGGAGGCTATCGGATGTACAGTGTTTCTTTCTCAGTGTGAGGTCAAGGGTTTCTATATTTCAATGACTGCACTTGCACTGTATTTTCTCCCTAGATGGTTGTGCTTGTTCTACAGTTAGTTTGATTTGTAAGATATAACATAAACTCTACATTTTTCCCTGAAAGTCTTATGAAGCTGTTTGGGAGAACAGACGATGCTTGGAGGCCTCATGAAGTGTTTTCCAGAAGGACAAGTTTTAGTGTTTTTCTATTAGTGGGCCACAATGGAAAAGCCAGGAGAACTGACAGGTGTCATGTGACCAGCCAGTCACTAAAGAACCTCCCTGGGCTTCTACCTCCTCAACTGTTCAGGAAGACTGGAGCATTGCTGGGATTCTATCCAGCTAAAGTATCAAATAATGCATAGTCTATTGTCAGCAAACTTCATTTTTAAAATCCTAACAGCCCCAAGTTCCCTAAACAACCTAACTTGCTTTCGGGCACGGCAGAGACCTAACCAAACCAGGAATGTAAGTAGGTAAAACAAGCAACATCTCACACCAACACTTGCTTCTCTGATGATATGAAGTCACAGTTCCTTGGGAATAAGCTGATTTTATGGAAGTAAGATGCAATCCTGATAAGTATAATCATAAAGTATACAAGTTCCAAAAATAGCTATGTAAATATGATACCAATATAAGTAAAGAGTAGGGTCTGATAAATGAATTTAGTTTTTTTTCAGCCAGTTATTATTATCATTTTGCTTGAATGCTAAGATTTCAGTTCACATTTTAAGAAATAAAATTTTAAGACCTAAATATTCTAGGTTTTATTTCTCCTCCTAGTACATGCTGCTGACATCTCTAATTACAGTGAAATCTTCAAAGCTGGTGGGTGATTAACAAGCCTTGTTACGAACCTGAAAACCAAGTAGTGTCCCAGACTGCTTTGTCATTGATCCTTTGATTGTAAGTCTTCCCAGGTCATTCAGGGAAGTTCAGTCAGATGTAATTTAATAGACTCAAATGACCAGCGAACATTTAAGTAGAAATTAGTACATTGAGTTTCTGAGCCCTCAATGTCCTTCCTGGGTGGAGGTCAATAATCAGGGCATCCTAACTTGATGTCAAGCAAGCAATAGGCTATGTGCATAGAAGATACTCATGTGCCTACTTTATATATAAAGTACCTGATTTCTTATGGAGGGATGCACATCTGTCATGCCTTGTAATTCTTAAGGAAGCCCATAGACTGCTTAGGTTATTTCTGGTGTTTGCAATTCAGCAACCCCCTCACACCTGTCCATTTCTCCATCCATTCCTTTTATGTGTGTCTATTATTGGACCAGCAGAGAGCAGAGCCCGTGAATAGGCTTTGCTTTCTACTTTCCTTAACAGGAATTCTTCTACGGCCCCAAGGCATCCATGATTTTCTGGTAAACACAATGTTTCCATGTGGACCATCCTGGAAGAAACTGAATACAAGTCAAGACATGTATGATAGATTGATATATCAGGGCAGCAAAAAGGATTTATCTTTTCTGGCCCCCTAAATCAGCACTCAGTTGCTTTTTAATCTACTTATAACCTCAGGGGAAGGAAACAAAACAGGAGTGAATGAGCCTGCAAACATGTTAACCAGGCCCCCTCCTTTATCAGCCTTCGGAACCCTTCATTAACAGAAAGAAAGCTGAGACAAAAATAGAAGTCATCTAGCATTTACAAGAACAATCTTAAATATTCACATCTACAAGTCTCTTTTTAAACGTATTTGCTTTTAGAAGCAAATATAAGTTAAAAATTATATGACTCCACCCATGTAGTTTGATGCATATCTTACAGAGAGACTTATTCAGAACTCTCTCTGTGGTCCATTATTTAAAAATGCAATCTGGCTTGACTCAATTACACCACTTCAGGCATTCTGAATAATCTCAGCAGAAAGAAAGAAAGAAAGAAAGAAAGAAAGAAAGAAAGAAAGAAAGAAAGAAAGAAAGAAAGAAATTAAGAAAGAAAGAAAGAGAAATTAAGAAAGAAAGAAAGAAAGAAAGAAAGAAAGAAAGAAAGAAAGAAAGAAAGAAAGAAAGAGTCAAAAGAGTAAAAGCCCTGAGCAGACTCCACAGTGGCTTCTGTATGCTTCGAGGAGAGCTTGCTCTGTGGTTGCCAGTGTCTAAGAGTAAACACTCCCGCTGCACTTATTGGCAATTACTGCTGAAGGTCGCACATCAGCAGTGAGCCTAAATTCCAGGAAAAAAAGAAAGGTCTTATGTAACGGCTGCCTGAATGCTGGCAGGTGCCCAACTCAGCAGTTCACAGCAATGCAAAAAAGTAGGACGCCTCCACCGGGGTTGGACGTCATGAGCACGCCCCCTGAAGGTGAAATCTAACAATTCTTAAGTTTCTCTGTCTCCCCCCTCAGCCTTCGCACATCCTGAATTTTACAAAGTTTCTTGTCTGTGGCATCATCGGCTTGGAGGAGGAGCTGGAGGTGAGAGAAGCTAAGGGCACAATAAAAATAAAACCAGGTTACAGCTACCCTGGGTGACACGAAATGTCTGTCTAGTATTTTTTTTTTCCTTTCATTTTA